CTCTAGGGAGACAGCATACCTGGTGAGTCCATGGATTTTCCTGGCATATTTCAGTCTCAATTCCATACACTAGAGAGTCTCCTTCTACAACTACTCTTCTCTTCTTTTTGTAAGTTGCAGGTTCAGTGACCATATTTTGTTGTGCTTCAGCCCTTCTAATGTCCTCCTGTGGGGTCTCCTCTGCATGCTGTCCCACAGACTTCACTCCAACAATCTGAAAGTGGTTTTGCAGTTCCACTGGTGAAGAGTTTCCTTTCCTTCTTTTGCTCCTAACTGTGACTCTTTTCCATGGTGGTTCTTCCACTATGTGTGTAGTCTACTCAGCTCTCTCCTACACTGTTTTGCTTTTATTCTGTCTCCAGTGCCTCCTGTGACAGCTGCTATTGCTCAAGAGTTCTGTCAATGTATGCTTCATCTTCCCTCAAGTGTGGCTACTCGATGGTCCAGTTTTCTCACTTTTTCTTCTAACACTGGCACTAGTTTGCACTTGTTACATTTGCACACCATGTTACACTCAGGAACAAAGACAAAAATTCAAGGGTTTTCACATAGTTTTAATGTCTTATTTGCATATAACACGATGTCCCCTTGCTCTCTGACAACCTATTCCTTTTTAATAGGTATATGATTGAATTACTAAACTCCAATAATGGTCCATTGTGTTGGATCTCAAAGATGTCTACCAGTGATACCTATCAGATCAGATGTTAGTTATGTCTACTTTCCCATACTAGGAGTTTGTCCAGTTCATCTGTTTGCTCCCTTGCTATTGTGCAGCAGGCTTCAGAGTTTATCAGTGTTACTCCTTCTTGGTTTTCTAGCCATATTTAGCTAAAAATTAACACCTTAACTGTCCAACCTCCTCCTTTGTCACTAATATCTTGTCCCTTGGACTTGAGTCTGCTGAGCAGTTAGCTTCAGATTTTTGCCAGCTTCTCCCCACGTGGTGCTCATTACATGTATCTTACACATATGTAAATAGCCCCATGAACATGTAGCTACTAAAAAGCTAATTACATCATCATTCCAATTATTTACAGATATGCAAGACCATAAGACAATATGTTCTACTATTGATTATATCACACATTAATCCCAAGTGAGCATGCTTTCCCACAGAATTTCTTGGGACTGGCCATATTGATTTATAATGGAAATTTTGAAATTCAAGAGTCCTGATTAACTTATGACCCATCACACACAAAGTTTTGTAAAACTTTGGTTGATCCTAATAAAACATTTGTTCCACTGAATTCAAGTCTACATATCAGCTGTCACGTCCCCTTGTTCTGAAAAAATCCTGGCATGTTGAGTATAAATCCACCATTCTTGCAAGGTATATTCTGATTCCCTAACTAGCTAAACTAATGAATTAAAATGGATGGGAATGGGTGAATTCAATTCGGATGCTTATCATATCGAATACTGTGGGCAAGAATCCTGTAGAAGAAATGGAGTGGCCCTCATAGTCAACAAAAAGAGTGGGAAAAGCTGTACTGGGATACAATTTCAAAAACAACAGAATGATTTCAAAATGAATCCAAGGCAGACTGTTCAGCAACACAGTAATCCAAGTTTATGCAGCAACCACCGATGTTGAAGACGCTGAAACTGACCAATCCTATGAAGACTTAGCCAAGGTAGCAGTTCGAAAGCATGTAAAAATGTGAGCAAATAGGTACCACCATGGTGGGAAGGTAACAGCATTCCGCGTCTAATCGCACTGGCCACGTGACCATGGAAACTGTCTACGAACGAATGCTAGCGCAACGGCTTGCAGATGGGGATGAGCACCACGCCCTAGAGTCAGACATGACTGGACTACATGCCAAGGGGGACCTTTACCTATACCTTTGAAGACTTACGACACCTTCTAGAACTGACACCAAAGAAAGATGCTCTCATTCTAGGGGACTGGAATGCTAAAGTAGGGAGTCAAGAGATAAAAGGAACAATAGGTAACTTTGGCCTTGGAATTCAAAACGAAGCAGCACAAAGGCTAATAGAGTTTTGTCAAGAGTCTGGTCATCACAAACACTCTTTTCCAACAACACAAGAGGCGACTCTACACATGGACATCACCAGATGGGCAATACCGAAATCAGATTAATTATGTTCTATGCAGCCAAAGATGGAGAAGCTCTATACAGCCGGCAAAAACAAGACCTGGAGCTGACTGCGGCTCTGATCATCAGCTTCTCATAGCAAAAATTCAAGCTTAAACTGAAGAAAGTAGGAAAAACCACAGGGCTAGTCAGTGAATACACAGTGGAAGTGAAGAACAGGAAATTTAAAATAGATAGAAAAGTTCTTTTTATTGGAGTAAATGCATACAGAAGAACATGCAAACAAGATGGAAACTATTACTCTTTCAACCTACCCTAGCTTGTGAAATAGGCAGTAGAGTGCCTAGTGAAGAATTCTGTGTAACTTGCAAGTCTGAAGCACCTAACCACAGAAATAGTCTAAAATAGTAGGGAACCTTCTGTAGGTCATACAAGGGGGTGTTCATAAGTAATGAGCCTCTCCCAGAAAAAAATTGAGCTAGGAAGCTATAAATTGCAGGGTGTATTGGCTAATTTGTCTGTATTCAATGGTGCAAAAATCAACTACCTATGATTTTAACTTATCTTTCATGTTCAGGTCCAAAGTGAACATGGCAGCACCTCCAGAAAAGTTCAATGTGGAAGAGTATAGGACCATAATCAAGTTCCTGTTTCTCTAAGGGAAAGGTGCAAAGCAGATCCATGCTGAAATGTCACAAACTATGGATGACAGTGACCCTTCATATGCAACAGTTAAACACTAGGTTGTCAATTTTAAAACTGGCCATTGCAGTGTTGAAAGTGTGAAACCCAGTGGAAGGCCTGTTTCTGGCTCTGTGCCTGCAAACGTGAAAGCCATCCATGACACAATCATGGAGGACACCGAATATCAGCCAAATGTATTGCTATATATCTGAGAATATCACGTGAGAGAGTTGGTGCCGCTATCCGCAACAACTTGGAAATGAGAAAGCTGGCAGCAAAGTGGATCCCCAAACTTTTGACAACAAAACAAAAGAGGAAACGTGTGAAGTCACTGGTGGCTGTTTTGGAACATTTTGCAAGAAATGAGTCAGATTTCCTGGGCAAACTGGTAACTGGTGATGAGACATGGATCTACTGTTATGATCCTGAGACAAAGGAACAGTCTAAGGAATGGAGGCACAGCTGTTCCCCTACGCCAAAGAAGTTCCAAGTGCAAAGGTTGGTGCAGAAGCAAATGGCAACAGTTTTTTGGGGATAAGAAGGGAGTTCTGCTGGTGGACTACCTCCAACAGGGTTCAACCATCAATGCAAAATATTACTGTGCTTTATTGACAAAGTTGAGGCAAAACAAACGTCAAGGAAAGCTCTCCAAAGGTATCATCCTGTTGCATGACAATGCCTCATCAAACATTGCAGGTGAAACAATTTTTCTTTCTTTCTTTCTTTCTTTCTTTCTTTCTTTCTTTCTTTCTTTCTTTCTTCATTTATTTATTTATTTATTTTATTTGATTTGATTTATACCCCGCTCACCACTCAATGGAAAAACTTATGTCCTTAGGCTTTCAAGTGATGCCCCATCCACCCTATTCTCCTGACCTGGCTCCTTCTGACTATTATCTGTTTCCTAAACTCAAAAAAACACCTAAAGGGACAACAATGTGGGAGTGTTCTGGAGGCAACTAATGCTTCAAATGAGTGGTTACATTTGATTTGATTTATACCCCGCTCACCACTCAATGGAAAAACTTATGTCCTTAGGCTTTCAAGTGATGCCCCATCCACCCTATTCTCCTGACCTGGCTCCTTCTGACTATTATCTGTTTCCTAAACTCAAAAAAACACCTAAAGGGACAACAATGTGGGAGTGTTCTGGAGGCAACTAATGCTTCAAATGAGTGGTTACGCCAACAGTCGGAAGAATTTTATTTGCAGGGACTTAAGAAGCTGCAGGACAGATGTCACAAGTACATTGACTTCCTGTGACAGTTACAGCTTCCTAGCTCATTTTTTTTCTGGGAAAGGCTCAATACTTATCAGCACCCACTCCTACACAGTAAAGGTCTCAAAAAACTTTGGACAACCTCATTTCTCTAGCATGAGTTCTTAGTAAAGTGTTGCAGCGAGTTGTAAAATTTGGGAGCAGGGGTATACATCTAGAACAGCTATACTTTCCCTTTCTAAAAGTCTGATGTCTCTGGTTGGGTGTACGTTTTATCCCTAGGATGCACACTTGAAAACTAAGACCTCAATCCTATGTCTACTTAATTGGAAATGAGTCTCAAGTGGATGGGTAAGACTGAATATGTGGCCAAGGGTTGGATTTGTCATAGTCAGAGTACATCCATTGAAATCCATGGGACTTAAGTTAACCAGGACTAGCCTGATTTCACTGGGTACATCTACCTCCAGTCCAAGAGCATTAGACTGTAACAGATCCCAAGCACACTTACTAAGCCCTACCCTTCTCACTGAGATCCACAGGCATCTCTGCCTATGAAATTATTTACCCTAATACAGAATAGTGCCTTTCGCAATACTTAAACGGAGGGGAGGAGCACTGCTCCTTGATGTGAGAACAGACTCCTGATTTCATCGAGCCTTTAATGGACAGCAACAGATATTCTCACAGTATTAAGGTTGGAACTATCGAATGGATTGGTGATGCCTGTTGGTTATCACATGTCCATTCCAGTCAGTTTCCTTTTCCATGTCTAAGTGAGAGCCCCAAACAGACCTTCCTCGGCTACAACTCAACTTCTGCTCTCTTTTGGCTGCCTTCAGAAAGTCCTCCTCTCCTCTTCAAGAGCGATTCCCCAAAGGTCACCTGACGCAATGGGCACATTCACTTCGCCATCGCCGAGGTGAAACGGTCTGAGAAAGAGGTGCCCACCCAATCCCAACCCCGACCCCTCCGCCCGGGGCCGTTGTCCCGATGCAAGAGGAAGCCCTTCCCTCACACTTCCCGGGTACCTGCGATGATGGCCGGGTTGCTCTGACCGCCCTCAGGTTTCACCCAGGCTTCGACCGTGAATTCTCCTCTGGGCAACTCGGCCACGACCCCCGGACGCAGGAGCAGTTGTTCCCGCCGGCCGGAGAAGTAAAGGACGGCCACGGAGCCCGTCGCTCGCGCGTGAGGCCCGGCTCTAGCGCGCTGGCGC